AATGTTTTAGCATCCAGTCCGTTAATATCTTTGTTGCTCTTTTCTGCACTCTTTCTAGAGTCTCAACATCTTTTTGTATCGTGACCAAACCTGGATGCAGTATTTTAAGTGCAGCGGTAATTCTTTACTAACACTTCATGTGATCTTGATACTAACCTTCTGGTGATGCAGAGCAGGACTGCACTCACTTTTTCTGTAGCTGCATCGCATTGCTAGCTCATATTTAGGTGATTGTCCACTGGGATACTGTTGGGATATATCCAACCTCTTCTATAGAAGATGTGCGTTTGGTTTTTCATGCCTAAGTGTAAAACCTTATTTTTTTCACCACTGAATTTCATTTTGCTCTAAAGGGCCCAGTGTTCCAGGTTTGGCTATTCCCTTCTCTCCCTTCATCTTAATCATTTATGAAGATATTGACGAGTACTAGGCCTAAGAGAGAACCTTGGGGTACCCCATTGCATGCTTCCCTCCACATATATTTAGTTTCATTGAAGATGACATGTTGAGTGCTGCTGGTCAGCCAGTTACTATTCCATCTGGTGCTGCTGCTATAATCCATCTCATATTTTTCTATCATACCAAGAAGTATTTTGTGGTGTACTTGTTTGCATGTGGAGCCCCTAAATCAGACATGTCAAACACAAGGCCCGGGGGCCGTATACGGCCCGCGAAGTGGTTTCATGTGACCCGCGAAGCCATCCTGGAAACAGTGAGGGAACGGCCACTGCTGCCTTGGCCCTGGCCCAGGCCGGCTGGGAGCCAATGTACAATTTTGTGGTGGCCATCTATGCTGAAATGCATTCAGTCTTAGCTCCACAAGACCGTCTGGAAACAGTGAGGAACCAGTTCCTGCCGCGTCGGCCCCACCCCCTGGGTGCATGCTGGGGAGGTGTCACCCTTTGTGAGGAATGAAGAAATGCACCATCGCCTGGAAGTGGGCAGCAAATGTCCCTCGCCGGCTTGATGGGCTCTGCCCTGGTTCCGCCCCTTTCTGCCAGAGACCATCAGATCTTTCCCACTCCTGCCCAGGCCCCCACAGGTACCCTTGACCCGAATAATGTAGAGCTGGTGATGCCCACCCAGTAGGCTGCACCCCCCCTGGCCACACCGACCCAGCCCCCCCCCCAGGCAACCACAATGTTGATGCAGCCCTCAATGAAATTGAGTTTGACACTCTGCCCTAAATGATTGCCAACTTCGTCCTGTAAATAGAATAATGAAATATGGTACAAACCTGGAAGCATGCTACCATATTGGTCCCCATCCACATCTAGTCAGGACATACAGGTCGTCCTTGACTTACCACTATTTGTTTAGTGATCGTTTGAAGTTACAATGGCCATAAAAAACGTGACCTATGATCGTTTTTCATTCTTACAACTGTTGCAGCATCCCCCTGGTCATGTGATAAAATTCAGATGTTTGGCAGCTGCCACATATTTATGATAGTTGTAGGGTCACGTGATCACCTTTTGCAACCTTCTGACAAGCAAAACTAATGGGGAAGCCAGATTCACTTAACTATGCGAAAAACATAAAATGGGGCAAAACTTACTTAACAACTATCGTGTTTGGCACTGGAATTTTGAGACTCAGTTGTGGTTGTATGTCAAGGACTACCTTTAATATATTTTTGTCTTCATTCTTGCAGAGCCTAAATCTCACTGGACGGCAGAATTGCTCTCAATAGGCTTCCCAATTTCCAGAGGAGTTAGATTATTCCCAGGCAGGTGCCTTGGGCAAAATCTTTGGATTGCGCAAGTTAGCAGAAGGCCAATGTAAAAATTCTGGCACTTTCTTAGGGGTGACTCTCAGTGGAGATCAAAACCTCTCTACACCCCAAAACGTTTATCACAGATATTCCTGTGGCTCCTAAGGTGAGATGCTGTAGGGGGGCCATCTTCACTCCTGCCGGCCAGGGCTGCATCCAACAGCACCCACCATGAAGCTTCATTCCTGAAGGAGGAAATTTTACATCTGCTGAATGTTAAAAGGCCATGTGCGTCTGTAAATTTCCTTCCACGGAAGCCTCCATTAGGTCACAGAGAGGAAAAAATATGCAGCAGGGCCTATAAAAGAGGACCTAAGAAAGAGGGTCCGATTGTCTATATATGGTAGAAGAAATGTTTCCAAACTACATTTTTAAAAAGAAAACAAAAGGGAAGAATAGAATATCCTGTGCATGGCCGACTGATCACCAAGCTAAACTTTTTAGAGGGACACCTTGCACTGCCATTTTTCATGCAGGTCTTATAAGGTATGGATGGTGATAGTGGCCATTTCAGCTATTGGCTCCTAGATCTCTTGCACGGAGGAATCTGGAATAAAATAACCCCAACGAATATTTCATTGATTCCCTTTTCATTCAAGAACTCATGATGGCATACAAAGCACTTCCTGTGTGGCATAGTGTAATTTACAGGGTAAATGTCCCCCAGAAAGCCTGCCTACCTCCCGAGACATATTTTTTGCCTGTCAATATTTTATAGCTCCTGGAAGGAGTCTTCATGCCTAAGCTAACACTGAATTTGAACTTGCGGCTTTCCATCCAGCGCCCGAGCCTTACACCGGATATTTGTTTTTGATGCCTTCAAGTCAGTCAAGTCAAGTCAAGTAGATTCCTGCTTTCCTGCTTAGGCCTAGGCAGCTTTCAAGATTCATTTCAACATCTTTGCACTCAGCTCTCCCTTACTCTCCAGATAACATATCTTGTCTTTCAATCTGAGTTTTAGACTTTTTTTTTTCACGAAATGGAGGGTTCCTCTGATTGGGGACTGGTGGCCTCTGATCCGGCCCTGTGTAGCAGCTCTTCTTCCTTTGGGGTTGTCTTTTATTTCACTCGGTTTTCTTAGCCACATAATGTTAGTACGTTTTGTGGGATCTATTATTACTGTAAAAATAGTTTTTTGGGGTGGGGCGTTATTCTGCTAGTTTCCTTGTGTCGGTTTTAATGTGTCTACTTTGTATATTGAAATTTAGTTAGTATTTATTTCTGCTCTGCACTTAATTCAATTAATCAGAACAGAGCTGGAAGAGTCCAATCCCCTGCTCAAGCAATCAGAATATACCATTTTAGGTAGGTGGGTGTCTCTTCTTTTCTTAAAACCCTCCAGTGATGGAAGCACCTGCAACTTCTGGAGGGAAGCTGTTCCACTGGTTCATTGTCCTCACTGTTGGGAAGTTTATCCTTAATTCCAAGTTCCGTCTCTCCTTGATTAGTTTCCTTTCTGCCAATATAATTAGATGTTCCCCAAGGATGAAATAAAATTAATCACAGGAGGCGTCAGACGCCACAACGAAGCTCTACATCACAATGCCATCCTTATTGAGGGAAATGCATGCAACCTCCTTTCCTAACTGCTATCAACAGTTGCAGTCAGGTTTTCAGAGATTTCAAATGGAGAGGGATCCTGACAATCAAGGGGAGGAGGTCCCAAGGGACAGTTTCTCCTTGTTTGATTGGCAGCAACACATTTAATTGTTTAGTGTTGAAGGTTTCAAGCAACTGTTATGTATTTTCATCTCTGTACCTGTTGGCACCTCTATTTGGTCACCAATTGACTCTGCAGTGAAACTGCCTACTGTGTGTAGCTTGTAGTGTGACAAAGACAAGCTTTGGGAGAAGCACCCGACCCTCAGGATTTCTGTCAGCAGTTTGCTCAGAAACTTTACTGTTGCAAAATATGACTTTAAAGGAAAAATAAGAACAAGAAGATTGTGCTAGCTTTTGCAATCTGTGCTTTATACCACAATAGTGACATCTGTGGACCTTTTCCACCACTGATATTCTGGAGGAAGTAAAAAATGTGTGTGGTCCCTTGTTTAGTGGTGCTTTGATTTCACCTGTTTTCTTCCTCCCATTGGAGTTCTGCATTACTGTCTGCCCTATTTGAGTATCCAATTGACCTTTTCTTCCCCACTGACTTCCAGATATTTCCCTCTTTTTCTGAACGGAAAAATGATCTCCTCCACCTTGTCATGTAACGTATCCTTCTGTTCTGCATACTCCACTATTTCCAGCTTGAAATCTCTTCTTGATTTTCTCTTGCCTTTCGCCTGCTGGGACGGGAGAATTGTGTAATTTTCTGAAGGAAATGGAAAATATTTTGATTTCTGGCTGGATTTGCTTTCCTTTTCAAAAGATATTCTCACTTCTCCAGAGTGCTCTTATTGCTATCCTCTTTGTCTGTAAGATTCAAAGAAAAGTGTAAGTCACCAATTGACTCTGCAGTGAAACTGCCTACTGTGTGTAGCTTGTAGTGTGACAAAGACAAGCTTTGGGAGAAGCACCCGACCCTCAGGATTTCTGTCAGCGGTTTGCTCAGAAACTTTACTGTTGCAAAATATGACTTTAAAGGAAAAATAAGAACAAAAGTGTAAGTTTAATTGTTTATACAATGCTTGCAGATGTGAAAAAAAAGGGAAAAAAATATACATTACATTTAAAAAGTAAACATAACAATGCTAACCTCTTACATTAATTATGATTCATCGGAAATTCCAGAGATCCAACTTCAAATATCCGTTCAATCATGAAATTCCCTTGACTTGCATCAACCATAAACTGTAAGCGCTGCTATGGGTTATCATAAAATATATCTGGAAGTATAGATTATACAATTGCAGATATATGGAAAGAGTAATATAAATACACATACCTATAATTATATCTATGTGGAAAATTCATGTTTTCAGCCTGAAAAAGAAAAAAAGATTACTGTCAAATCTTCTGAGCTAATTTTTAGAGGTGTGGGGGCTTTAAATGATGAAATGATGCCTGATGACTCTGCAAGATCTGACCATGGGAGTCCTCGGCTACAAATAAGGGCAAAAACTACTCTCCACAATCCCTCTGCTGACATCCCAATTGAGGTACTCCTCACTTAATGACTGCAATTGAGACTGGCATCTGTGTCATTAAGCGGTCCGATCATTAAATATGATGTTAGCATGATAGTGCCAACTTACATCTGTTCCTCTGGACTTGCTAAGCAAATCACCATGGGTTGTTAAAGGCAATTTCACATGACTGTGGCTTGCAATTTCCTGCCGGTATACCCACTGATTTTGCTTGTAAGAAACTAGCTGGGAAGGTCACAGATGGGGATCATGAATGTGGGATACTGCAGCCACCATAAACATGCAACAACTGGCAGCATCCGAATTGGTGCAATTCCCTTTTCCTGCTTTTTCATAATCATAGGCCCAATGAAGAAGTGGCAAATGAGGACTACTTATACAACTGAACATCCTGAAAGGTCTTCCATAGCTGTTCTTTCAGAAGTGCTGGCTTAAGCACAGTTGAACCTCGTTAATACACATATGGGGAACCAATAGGAAATACCGTGCTTGTTAGCTATAAATAGAAGTAAAAAAATAAAAATCCACGAAAAAATAGTGGCAGTTTCAGACTGATATTGGTGCCAAGAAAACAGCAGGTCCACAAGAGAATAATGAGAGTTGAAAGGGACCTCAGAGGTCTTCTAGTCCAATCCCCTGCTTAGATAGGAAACCTATATCATTCTGGAAAAATGGCTGTCCAATCTCTTCTTAAAAACCTCGTGATGAAACACCCACGTCTGGAGGCAAGCTGTTTCATTCATTGTTCTCACTGACTTCCTCCTAATTGTAGTCTCTATCTGTTACTTCTTGTTCATGAGGCATTTTAGTCCAACAACTGAAGCCTCTCCATGCGAGGAAACCTGGCTTTGTAATAGGATGGGAGACCACCAGGGAATGGCAAAAGTGCAACAGGGCTGCTGGTGGCCAAGTGCTAAAGCAGGACTTCCCTCAGATCCTTCCTTCCTTCCTTTCTCTTCCTTCCTTTCCTTCCTTCCTTCTCTTTCATTCTTTCTTTCCTTCCTTCTCTTTCATTCTTTCTTTCTTTCCTTCCTCCCTCCTTCTTCCCTGCCTCCCTCTTTTTCATTCCCATCTTCCTTCCTTCCCTTACTTTTTTCCTGTTCCCCTCCCCTCCTTCTCTCTGTGCCCAGGAAGGGACGAGGAAAGGGGGAGAGGTTGGCAGCACTTATCTCAAAGAATAAGAGTTGGAAGAGACCTTTGAGGTCTTTAGTCCAAGCTCCTGCTCAAGCAGGGGACATATACCATTCCAGACAATGGAATATCCAATCTCTACTAAAAGCCTCCAGTGATGGAGCATGCACAGCTTCTGAAGGCAAGCCTTTTCACTGGTTAGTTGTTTTCACAAGTCCTTAGTTCTAGGCTAGTTTTCTTCTTGATTAGTTTCCATCTATTATTTGCCTTCTGATGCTTTGGAAGATAGGTTGACCCTTTCTTCTCTGTGGCAGCCCATCAAATATTGGAACATTGCTATCATATCACCACCCCTAGTCCTTTTCACTAAGCTAGACATACCCAATTCCCACAAACATTTGTCATATATGTTTTAGCCTCCAGCCCCCTAATCATCTATGTTTACCATCCATTTAGACCAGATGGTCCCCCTGGTTTGGTTTATAGAACAGGGGCCACAAGCAGAGCCTTCTCAAAGACAGCACCCCCATTATAAAACTTTCTCCCAAGGAAAATATGAATAGTGCAACCCTCACCCATTTAGAGGCAACTCCAAACACACTGTTCAGCCCAGCATATGTAAAACAACAACACATTTTATGGTCAAACAGGACTAAGTAAATTACTACTATTTTTCTTTCTTAAAATACATAATTTTAATATTGTTTTAAGCAGTGCTAGTGATGCTTTACAATAGCTGTCTTTGAGAGTTTTCTTGTAAACCACCCTGGATTTCTCAGAAACTTTTAATTTCAAATTAGATGTTGATTTAATAAATTAGGCAGAAGAAACAAATGTATGTGTATGAGAGACAGAGAGAGATCCCCTTTTTGTAAGTTTGCTTACTCTGCAACTCCCTGCTGGCTCAATCTCTCTCTCTCTCTCTCTCTC